AGGAAGAGAATGGCTTGGCCCTTTTATGCTTGAGTCCATAATATGAGGCCCAATTTGATGGTTTTCGGCCCATTAGGCCTTTAGAGTAGATCACGGCCCAATTTTTGTATAAGAGAATGGTTTTGTGTCCATTTAAGCTAATTGGATTAGTTATGGCCCAATAAGGCCCATTATAGATAAACTAGTCCATTTTAGACTTATAAAGCCCAAAAAGGTTAAGTCTCATGAAAGTGGGTCCAATGAGAGCCCATTTAAGAGTTCTGAGCCCAAAATAGTCAAATTGGAAGTTTATTGTCCCATTAGGCCCAATAAGGAAATCCTAGTCCATGTTGGACTTAAACCGGGATTTCTAGGGTTTCCAACATTTGGTTGACTATTTGAGTGTTTGTATAGAGTGTTTGATGGAATTTTGTTGTCATTGAATAAGCATCATACATGCTTTCTAGTTTTAGTTACAATGTTATCCTTGTTTAATGTTTACAAATCATTAAAATTCCTAGTTGTGACAAATTTTTAAATCAATTTTGGACGGGTATTTCTAGGCTTTTGATGATTTAAAAAGAAGAGACTTAAACTAAAAAAAAATATACTTTTTTATTATAGCATTGTAATTTAAATAATTCAGTTATTAAATTATAACTTAGTAGATTTAGCATTTTAATTTAAATCATTCAACTTATTTTTGTTTTTATTTTTCTATTTTGAGTAAATTATAACTTAGTAGATTTAGCGTTTTAATTTTTATTATGACATTGTACTTTAAACAATATTATATATTTGTTATTTATTTCATCTTTTTTTTTTTCCAGATTTTGATTTTTAATATCAACTTATTTTTGTTTTTATTTTTCTATTATGACACTATACATTTTCGTATTTATTTTTATTTATATTATCTTAGTTATTTTGTTTTTTTTTGTTATATTATAATACTTTAAAAAGACATTCTAAATTACAACATCCTTTTTTTTTCAATTATAACATCCTATCATAACATACATATACATCCAATATACACATATTTTATCATAACATACAATAAACACACATACAAATGCACTTATACATATTTTTTCACATATATTTTTTCATACATACAAATACATTTCATATAGAAATACATATATACATTTCAATACAAACACCTACATTTTCACATAAAAATGCCTACATTTCATATACATATATTTTTTCACATACATTTTTTCATATATGCTCATATACATATATTTCACATAGAAATACACTTATACATATTTTCACACACTTTTTTATACATACACATACACATACATTTTTTCATACAAATTCACATATACATATTTGCATATACATTTTTACATACATATTCATACATGTAGATTTCACATATATACCAAAATACACACATTTCACATACCAAAATATAAATTTCACATACCAAAATATATACAATTCACATATACTTCATATACATTAAGAACAAAAAAAAAAGGAAAAAGAAAGAGGAACCTGCTGGTCGCCGGAAAAATAACCGGTCGTCGGAAAATGGTGACACCGGTGGTGCTGGGGTGGTGATCACCACCGGAGACTAGTTAAAAACACCAAAAATACATGAAACTAGAGCTAAATATGGTAAGAAAACAAGAGAAAGGGAAAAGGGAAAGAAAACGTATGTTACAGGAGGTTTAGGGTCGCCGGAAAACTCGGAATTCGCAGGAAATCGCCGGAAAACGCCTGAAATCGGTGGTAATCGCCGGAAATCGGTGGAAATCAACGGAAATTGAAGCCCTAGAAGCAATCTACGGTTAGTGGTGGTATGGGTTGGTATATTACGCCAGAAAAACGTAGTTCGCTGTAGTTTTTGCGAGAAAGAAAAACAGATGCACAAAATGAGTCGTCTGGGATGAAGTGGGAGTCAAAAGGGCGTCACCTTTAGCGGCGACAAATAGGCAATAGCGGCGACACGTTGGAGGGAAAAACACGCGCCATTCTGTAGCCACTATTAACCGTCCGATCCAAAATCAATCGAACGTCAGGATGACATTGACGCGGATCGCCATCAATAGCGGCGATGTGTCGTCGCAAATGGTGACGCCGCTATTACTTCCCACGATATGAAACCCTAGTCGATGGATCAGTTTAGCATCGTACAGTCACGATCAAATGACGTGTGGCAAAAGATGATCGTCGGTGGCAGACCTTTAGCGACGACGTATATAGAGACGACAGGACTCTTTAGCGGCGACATGAACTAGTGTCGTCGCTAAAGGTTGGCATCGTCGCTATTGATGTCGTCGCTAAAGGGCTGATTTCTTGTTGTGACATTAATAAATTTGAATCATGAATTCGCCATTGGTGATGGTAGCAACGGTGACAGAGAGGATGTAGTAGATGTGAAAGAAAATCGCTAAATAAGAAAGCGTAATAAAATAAGATTGTTTTTTCAGGTTTAAGGTCTATTGGATTTAGACGTCCGTTTTAATGTCTTTTACTGTAGAAGAATAGGACGCATAAACTTTTTTTTAATAGAAAACATATTGTGTTTAGTAAAAAAGATTTGTCCAGTATTTAGTAAAAAGATTTGTCCATCAAGAAGAGCTCAAAAAAATTTCCAATATAAAACAGAACACCTTCTATATTTTTCTATCTTGTCGTCTTTTAATAGGCATATATGTGTTTTTTATACTTTTTACTTTTTAGAAAGGCTTTTTTTTTTCTTAATAATATATTTTGTTATACTTTTTTATTAATTTTTATTAGTGTATAACTGTATATCATTATTTATTTTAAATAATAAAATAAAACTCATTATTTTTTAGTTTAATGTAAAATAGATTATGAAAATTATAACTTTTGTGACAACAAAATATAAAATGTAACCTTTTCCTTTTATTAAAAAATAGAAATTTAAAAACATTTAGGAAGCTATATTTAATAAAAATTAAAATCTTTAAACAAAATAATATTAGGTAAGTCTTATCAATTTAATTTTATTTTTTTTAGTAAGAAAATTATATATATTATTTAATTATTTTAATTGAATTATAAAAATAAGTTGACTTATTGTAAAAATAAATAAATAAATAAAACTTGAAAGATTTTTTATCATATAGAAGAATAGGGGTGTTATTCAGTTTGGTTTTCGGTTTTATCGGATTTTTTACATTTTAAATCTAACCATAAGCAAACCGAATAAGGTTCGGTTTAATCGGTTTCGGTTTATTCGGTTATGGATTATTCGGTGCGGTTTAACGGTTAAACCGAATAAAATTCAAAATGTAAAAATAAATATTAAACTAAAAGAAAAAAAAAACTTACTAGACTATTACCAAACAAAGAAACTACATTAATATATAAAATATTATTTCAAGTTGTAGAGATATGTTAATATAATTTTAATTGTATATGAAAACAAAAGAAACGACTAAATGTTATTTGGTTAATTTGTCTTTGTTTTTTAATACAAAATATAAAACAATTATAACTTTATAATGGTTAATACCTAAAAAAGTCATGAAAATCCTAGTAACTAATCAATAAATTTATATATAAAATGTTGATATATATATATATATATATATATATATATATATATATATATATATTAAATAGCTTATTCGGTTTTTTCGGTTTAACCAAAACAATGAAAATTTAATCAAAAAACCAAACCGAATAAGATATCCTTATTCGGTTAACCAAACCAAATAACCCGAACCAAATAAACCAAACGTCATTTGGTTCGGTTTGGTTATTCGGTTTTGATTTTTTTATGACACCCCTATGAAAGAAGACACATTAATACATTGTGGAGTTGCAATCTCGCTGACGTGAAAAAACTTAATGGAAAGGTTTTATTATTGCAGATGTTCTATTATTTGAAGTTTGTTAAATTCGGATACTAAAAAATAAAACTAATACTCCTGTATATTAAAAGGTAAATACAAGAATAATTTAAGTTAATCAATAAAATGATGATGATTCTATAATCTTCCTCCTATCAATCAAAAATATCCAACTACACCAAGACAAAATCCAAATGGCCACCGGAAGATTCTTCAAAGAAGTAGAATTACCCGAGCAAAAATCTCACGACGACGGCGTTCTCTTCCCGGCGGTGTTATCTCCAATCTCCAACACTGATCTTACAGGCTTTGAAGACGCGATCAGAGCTCATAAACCATGGCTGGATTCTCTTCTCCAAAAAAGAGGCGTTATTCTCTTTCGAGGCTTCCCTGTTACCTCTCCTTCCGACTTCAACGACGTCGTCGAAGCTTTTGGGTTCCCTGAAGCCTTCTACGTCGGCGGCAGAGCCTCCCGAACTCAAGTCGTCGGCCGGATTTACACCGCAAATGAAAGCCCGCCGGAAATGCAAATTCCTTTCCATCATGAGATGGCTTATGTAAATTCCTTTTATTTTTTCAATCTAACTATTACCTTAGAAGTACCAATCCATTAAAGTAATCTTGATCTGTATGATTCTGTCAAACAGCTTCCAGACTTCCCCTCGAAGTTATTTTTCTTTTGTGAAGAAGCACCAGAAGCCGGAGGAGAAACTCCGGTAGTTTTAAGTCATATCATATATGAAAAGATGAAAGAGAAACACCCAGAGTCCGTAGCAAAACTGGAGGAGCATGGAGTAAAATATACAAAAATAATGAGCGAAGATAATCAAGAATCATTTTTCACTGGTAGTGGTTGGAAGTCAGCATACATGACCAATGACAAGAATGTTGCAGAAGAAAGGTTTGTGTATATATACTTCTGCTACAATATCGAACCTAATAAAGTGCATGCATGTTATTATGTTAAATGCATTTACATAATCTAAAATTAATAGCTCATGATTGATAGGGCAGCGAAGCTGGGAACGAAGCTTGAATGGATGGGGAGTGATGTAAAAGCTATTACAGGTCCGATGCCAGGGATAAGGTTTGACAAGAAAAGTCAACGGAAGATTTGGTTCAATGGTTTGGCAGTTAGTTATAGTGGCTCTTCGACTACTAAAAATAATGATCGGAATACATTCATTGAGCTTGGAAATGGTGAACCTGTGTCGGATTCTGCCATGGAAGATTGCTTGAGAATCATGGAAGAAGAGTGTGTTGCAATACCATGGAAGAAAGGTGATGTTATGCTTGTTAATAATTTGATGGTTCTTCATAGCCGAAGGCCATTGATAAAGCCACCTAGAAGCATTCTCGCATCCCTTTGCAAGTGAGGGGAGAAAAGAGTCATTTCACTTTTATGAAAAAATGAATAGGAAATTATTAAAGTAAGGTCTATATATTTTGCTGCTTTTGTTCAACACTATATGATTCTCGTATCTTTTCGTTTTACAAGAATGATGGTTTGTTTGTTATTATCATTAAAGAGCCAAGTACATTGCTATTATATATTGGTTAGGAAATAAAAGTACATTCCTATTGTGAGTAAGGTTATAATTATATGATCTGGGAAAACTAAAACTTACAACAATAGTGAACATAGAGACAACAAACAAGGATATGAAAATTAAGAAACATGAAAAAAAAATATATCATGTACATAGAAAGGAAGCAACGAGAATGAAAAAACTATCAAAGATATAGAGAGATGACATATAGAACAAACATTTTCTATAAGAAAAACAAGAAATTGATATAAACTAAATTATACGACAAATAGCAACAACTTTTACATTAAACGAGGAAAGTGAATCAAAAGTACATATTTCTACTTTCTAGCGTCATCATTAAAAAAACGCCAGCACATTCAAATGTCTCATTACATCATCATGGATAATTTTCCAAATAAAAGCCCCTGATTTCATCTAATGTCCAAAGCTCTGCGAGTTCATAGAAGGGAATTTCTACCCTCTCAACATGAACTCGAGCAGAAAAACTTGGATCTTTCTTAGCAAGAAAAAACATCAACTTTAAAGTCTCTTCACTCATAATAGGCGAAGACTTAGATTTGCCACAGTATTGAAAATACAAGGTGTTCTTCAACGTAAATAAACGTCCATCAATCCCAGAGTGTTCATAAATCAGTTTTTCAAATTCTTCATACCCAATTTCATGTAAAGCTGGAACTGTAAAACTTGAAGTTGTTTTGTCACCCTTGATTGCTCCATTCACAAATTTAACTTTACCTCCATAATAAAAATTCATAAGAAAAGGATGATCTAGAGCCATGACTTTCGATGAACTTGCTCGTAACTGCACACTCAATAACAACATTGCATGCGTCAAATCTTTTAAATAAGTGCTAACAAGATCGATCTCAACCTTAAGAGCTACGTTTATTGATCTAAACGAAACACTCAGTGAACAACCAACAAAAAGACGATTGTTTTCGTAAATATACATTGAAACGTTTGCAAAGCTGATTTTAAAAATCAAGTCATAAGATAGATAAGGGAAAAATGCAAACCTCACTTTTCATGGATATTCGAGACGAAAGGAGGAGCGAGTGTTTAAGAAAACGAAGGATTTTTCTTTTGGTTCGTGATGGGCGTCCCTGCAGAAGCAAGTATTTATAGGCTGATTACATTTGTTGAATGGGAATTTTAAAAGCCAAAATTAAAAGACCTTTTGGTTCCCTAGAAAATTGTGTATCGTCGATAAAACATATACTCATGGCTACTATATCTATTTAGTATTTATCTACTAAAAAATACTAACAATTATACTGAAATGATGCAAGTTACTTTAACGGATGAGAACTTAAGATGTTGAGTCAATCTTGTAAAAACAATAGAACAAATTAAGTGCACCAAATTGTGGTATATCAAAAAAAACAAATTAAATCTACCTAGTTCACTTTGTTAAGACCAAACATTGATTTTCCTTGTGCTTTTAAAAAACTCAAAGGTGAAATTTCAAAAAAAATAAAAAATAAATAAAATAAAATAAAATTGACGTGATGGTCCTGTCGTTTCACAAACTTTGTATTGATGAAATTTACTTTTACC